GCAAGTATGGAGAACAGCGATAGATGGACGGACACTGAAGTGCAGGCACTTGTAGCAAATATAGCACTGCCAGTTGTCGTTGGAGATTCTTAGTCCTCCTTTCCGTTCTTTCATTCGTTTTATGTATACGTCGACATTCCATGTCCATTATTGTGAAACCCGCGAGACACAACAAAAACACAGCTCCGATCACAGCGTCCTCCATCCTCCTGTTGTTAACGTTGTTCTTCTTTGTTTCCGTTGTTGAACGCCGCGCACAAATGACATCACTGTCGATCGGCTTACGTCACTTCCTAGCACACACTGTCGGTGCGAATGCAACCCTTTAAATGGTACTGGGAAATAGTTTGTGCAAAATCGTCCCAGTACTTTAGTACTGTACATTTTGTTCTGGAACTAAAGCGGTGCGAAAGGCCCTAATAAAGTAGCTAAATATACTAGTGTAAGTAATTCAAAGAGACCACTTCATCCTCCCATCCCTCGATAGTAGAAGTCAGAGGTATGATCACATTATTCCATTTGAGGTGTAACAGGTTGTGTTCCCACATGTCTTAGTTCCCAGGCACTCTAAGAAAAAGGAATTAGCGTACCACTACCATTGACTGTTTATGACCATTACCAGTGTTGGGAAGTAACTAGTTACATGTAACTAAATTACGTAATTTAATTACAAAATAAACGTAATCGTAATCAGTTACAGTTATTGAGAGAAAATGTGTAATTAAATTACAGTTACTTATGAAAAGATTAATAATTAAAAAGGGGGTTAAATCAGATTTTTTTTCACACACACACACACACACAGATTTAATTAATTTCTTTCATAAATTGCAGTGACTCCTCTAATATATTTCAGGAGTTTAGGACACACATTTATTTGATAACTGTTTTATATCCTATTTGGGTTTATGTAGCATATATATATATATATATATATACACAGTGGGTACGGAAAGTATTCAGACCCCCTTCAATTTTTCACTCTTTGTTATATTGCAGCCATT